GCTGGAGACCTGGGCTTAGGTGCTGGTATTCCCAGGTGGTAGCTGCCGGCTGTTTAAGTCACCCAGCAAAGCCCCCTTCAAAGCCAGACCCCTCTGGGGACCTTCCCAAGCAGAAACGAGATCCCGCCGCAGGGTCAGAGTCCAAGTGGCACGGTCCAGGCCACCGCCTCCCTCCTTCCTCTCTGGACTAGGACAGGACAGCAGGCGGAGCCCCGAACTCCACATGGGGGCTTGCACGGAGTGGGGGGGTGCAGGCGGCCCTGGACACCTCCCTGGTCACATATTGTCCCTCTGCCTGTCTGTGCCTCCTGCGTCAAAGTCTACTCAGGATGGGGACCCGGGAGGTGGGGGGTCCTGGCTTGGAGGGGCTCTTCTGGGAGATGCAGGGTTCAGCTAGCTGGGGGTCAGTGTTCCAAAAAAACAAGGCATGGCTTTCTTTACACGGGCCTCGAACTTTCACATTTGTCACAACAGATTGACCAGAATTTCAAAGAGCAAAGAACAGAGGGGGGTGGGGGGTCGAGAAGGGAGAGGGAACACAGGAGAGCCAGGGGATGACAAGAAAGAACGGGGTGGGGAGCCCCTGGGGTGCTGTATGATTCCATTTGTGCCATGTGCACAATAGACGGCTCTCCGAGGAACGGGGGGCTCAAGGGTCTCACGGATGTGATTCGGGGTGCTGGATTTCTTTTTGGGGCGTGCAAAAATGTTGTAAACTTGATGTTGCTGAACTCTGAACGAAAGCCACTGGCGTGTAGGGGTCAGTTGTAAATTGTACGCTACATGAATTATCTCTCAATAAAGCTGTTAGAGGGGGAAAGCGGCTGCACTGGAGATAAAGGGGCAGAGTGGACGCAGCCAGGTGTGGACACTTGTTGGTATGGCTGCTGGCCGGCAAGACCAGAGCTCAAGGCTGTGGGGCCTGCAATCAACATGGAAAGCGTGCTGTGGAGAGATGACACTGGCCAGGGTCACCGCAAGTATCCCCAGCTCCAGCAGGGGGAGAGGCCACCCCGGATTCCACGCTCTGGGCATTTAGTAAGGGCTGTGGGGGCTTGGAAGACATCACAGAAAGCTCCGTACGTCTCTGCAGCGAGCCAAGGACCCCGGCCCACGGAGCTGGTGACTGGGAGGACTCAGTTCCTCCTCTGTCTTGGCCTGTTTGGGCTGCTGGAAGGTTTATGAACAAAGAAACTGACTTCTCAACTCTGGAGAGTGGGAAGCCCAAGATCAAGGCACGCACAGATTCAGCGTCCGGTGAGGGCCCACTCTCAAAGGACCGGCTCCCAGGGAAGGAGGGTGGGGGTCTCTGGGGCCCGCCCTCACCACGAAGCTCCACCTGGGAATACCAGCACCTAAGCCCAGGTCTCCACGTAGGAGTTTCCCGGGGACGCAGACATCCAAGCTAGAGCACGTCTCCCCACCTGGTCCTCTCCCTGCCGGGCTGGGTATGGGTCCTGGGTGGCCTGGGACGCAGGCCTGGTGTCCCTGCAACCCGATGGCGACATTCTCATGCCTTACAGTGAAACGCGCCTCACACCACAAGGCGACGTTCTTACCAGGGTGGACACGTTTACTGAAAATCGCTTTGGTGCGTATGGATGGCTCGCACCACACCCAGCGTGGTGTCTGGCGCCCAGCGGTGTCGACCCTCCCCTCCGCGCTGAGGCTCGGGGCTACAGTGTAGACAGTGCAGAACGCCCAGGTCTAAGGGCTCAGGAAGCCCCAGCGGAGAATGGCAGTCCCCCAGGGGGCACTGCAAAATCAGCTGACACGGGGCTTCAGCCCACCCTCACGCCCCCCCAGGCCCTCTGAGCTCTCTCCTCTCACTGTCACGGGGAGCGGGGAGCCCAGGGGCTGCAGGCCGTGAGGCCCAGCCAGGCGGCCTGGCTGGAGCACTCCCAGGCCTGCTGCCAGCACAGAGCTCAGGCTTCCAGAAGTCCTCCCTGCCGACTGCCCTCTGTCCTTCTTAAGAGGCTCTAGGTCCGCTTCTGGGTGCATCTGGCCTAGGGCTCCTCCTCTAAAAGGCAAAAACTCCTCCCGCTGAGGCAACCCCCACCCCCTCAAGCAGAGGTGTCAGCTGCCAGCAGCCCGAGGCTCCCGGCCTAGGCTCTGGCCCCTCCCTTCCCTCTCCCTCACCTCCCTCTTCCACTCCAGGTGCAGCTTGCTGGCGGACTCACCTCCCGGCCCTTCCCCACTCCTGCTTCCCTTTCAGGGCCTTCCACCTTCTCCAGACACCATCTCTTGGCCCAGAAGACTAGTTTCTCCTTCAGCTCATATGTCTCTTCCTCCAGGAAACTTCCCCTGCCCTTTCTGTTTTCCGAGGCCTGGGCCGGCCTCAGTCAGCCCTTATACCTTCACGTGGCCACCCTCTGCTTGCTAACCCGCTGCCCACACTGGAGGGTAAGGCCCAAGCCGGTCAGAGCCAAGCCAGGTGTAATTCACCTGTGTGTCCCAGATGCCCACACGGAGTAGGGCAACACAGGGGGGGCGGGTGGCGGGTTGCTGGAGACTCCAGGACCCTCCGCCCTTGTCTCGGGGAGTGGGCTGCCCGGAATGGGCTGCGGATTCTTGTGCGGGCAGATGGCCACAGTGCGAAAGCAACAAAAGGCGAGGAGGATGCCTGTGGTCAGAACCAAATATTTACATCTGAAGGTGCATTTCACGCACCTGCACCCAAGAGCGCTCACACACCCAAGAGTGCACGCGCGCACACACACACACACACACACACACGCGCGCCCCTTCAGGGCTCAGTGCTCAGGGCCGGGGAGGCCCGACGAGTCCGGCCTGTCCAGTTCCACACTGTTCCAGCCAGAGTTCTTCCAGAGGTCTTGGAAGAAGAGCTGGTGTTGGAGACTCCGCAGACGCTGCAGGTCCTCAGGGGACAGTGGCTCGGTGGACCGCACCAGGTCCTGCTCTTCTTCCTCGCCCCCCACCTCTGTAAGCCCGTCGGGGGGCTGCGGGGAGCTCCTAGAGATATAGCCCTGGTCGGACTGCTCTTCATCGAGGGGGGCATGCAGGTCTGTGAGGCCCACCCCCGGCCTCCCCCACCCTTCCTGGGCCTGGCAGCTCAGACTCTGCTGGAACAGGGAGAGCATCAAGCCTTCCAGCTGCCCCCCGCAGCCATCCAGGAAGCCGGACGAGGCCGTTGGGGTGCTGCAGCTGGGTGGCTCCCGCGAGGCCTCGGGGAGGAAGAGGACAGTGTTCCGCCGCGGGCCGCTGCCTTCCAGCCGCGGACAGGCCTCGCTTGGCTCCACCACGGCCAGCCAAGCACCGTCCCCCGCAGCACCAGGGATGGGCTTCACGGCCTGAGCTGGAGGGGCCGCCTCTTCTGGGAACACGGCGGTTTGGAGGGCCCCGGGGGCTGACACCCCCTGGGGCGCAAGTTGAGGGTCCAGCTTTGACATCCCTTTTCCTTCCTCGCTGACCCTCAGATTCACCCGCAGACAGTCCTCCGAGGCAGGTTCCCGCACCAGGGGCTCCTGCCTGAGGATGCCGCCCCCCGGGGCCAGTAGAGGCTCAAACACCTCTCCGTCCAGCGACGGGAGGTCCTGGTCATCCACCGAGCAGAGGTTCTCACGCTCAAACCAGTCGGGGCACCGAGTCTGCCACTGGCGAAATCTCTCCACGGCCACCTTGAGCTGCCAGCCGCTCGGGCTCTGCAGGTATTTCTCACCTGTGAGCTCCCCGACACGGTGCATCCGGCCAGGCTCAAACATCTCCAGGTCCTGGATCCGGAAGTAAATCTCCTCAAATTTGTCCATGAGCGGGTACCGGGAGGTGATGTGGAAGAGGTCGGGGATGTCACCCTCGCTGCTGATGTCACTGAAGTAGCAGACAATGTAGGTGCCGAAGCAGGCTGGCCTCTTGAAGTCCGGCAGGATGACGTTCATGGCCGCCGTGAAAAGGTCGCCCGCGGGCTTCCCGTGGTCACAGCGGAGCTGCAGGGCAGGGGCCTCCCAGCCCAGGAGGGCCTGCCACTTGGCACGGGTGCCTCGGGAGCACAGGATGAGGATCTTGGAGTCCCCCGCTACCATCTCCTGCTTCTGGCGGCTCACCCAGGTCATGACCCCCACCTCAGAGATGACCTGCTCCTCCAGCAGGTCCAGCGCCACTTCCGTGCCGCAGACGGTCAGCAGGAACTGGGCGAACTTCAGCACCACGTCCACGTAGAGCGGGTGGTCGGCAGAGTAGACAATCCAGACCTTCCTCGGCTTCAGGGGTGGGGGCGTCAGGGCGTCTTCGGGCAGCGCAGCTGAGGGGGAGCAGGGAAGCCAAGCCCACAGGCCCAGTGAGTGCCCGCGCTGACCACAGCACCCCAGGGCGGCGTCCCCTGCTGGCCGGTCCAGGAGGGGCCGGGCCGCCCAGCCTCGCTCGCTCACCAGTCTTAGAGCAGCAGGTGTTGGGCTTTCACCTATCTTGGCTGCCTGAGAAAAATCAGGCACCAGAAGCAAGAATCTCTTGCTCTCCTATCTCATCTTCAGCCTGCACTTTTACTACTTGAACCGAGGGACAAAAAGCCACAGAACCGACTGCCAAGGAAGCGAAATACCTGTTATTGGCAGACCCTGGTTCCACAACATTCTGAGTCCTTTCCTCGGTCAAGTGGTGCAAACAACCCTGTCCCAGCCTTGTCATTTGAGGTCCCTCCCGGGGGGGGTGCTAGAAGGCGGGTCCTCTGAAAGTGAGGTCTTGGGGCGGGACTTGGGCATTAAACCACAGGAGGCGACTTAACCACACATCTCAAGAGAAGCCACCACCACACCTTCAAAACCAAACACCTGCCCCAGCCAGGGAAGACTGACCTGTGTTCTTGCTGTCATCATCATGCTTTTCACGACGTGCGGCTGAAAGGGAAAAAGAGACATAGGGCCTGGATTGCGGGGACCCCAGGGGAGCACCCCTGTGCTGTAGGCACAGACCAAAGGACAAGAAAGGGCGGTGGTCAGGGGTGGCCCTCGGGGGAGCGGCTGAGGGTCACTCATACTTCTGAGGCTGAGAGTCGTCCTCTGTGAGTTGTGTCTGGGGGGCAGGGGTGGGTGGGTTGGAGGGGAGTGCTACGAGGGGTCTCTGTGTGTCCCAGTTTTGTGTGTGAGGTGTCCGGTACACTGTACATTTGCTCAGCTGGTCACAAGTGTTCTGTAGCCCTGACCCAGGAGGGCCCCCCAGAATGTGATGGGGTTCACTCTGGTCTCTAGTGACTGTCCCAGTTCCCCTGTCTCCCCATAGCGTGGCCACGCCCCAGACGCCCAGTTGAGAGACACCCTCCTTTCCCCCAGCACAGTCCTCACAGGAGGGAATCTGTCTCCAGAAGCTGCACCCGCCCCGCCCCGGACCCTACAGCTCCTCTTGGCACTTGTGAGGTGAGGAAAGGAAACCAACATTCTGAAGTAATTGCTCCCTTCAGAGAGGAAGTGAAACAAGTGTGGGCAGAGCAGCTTCTTAGTGTCACAGGCCCATGCGTGGTCATGGGTGACCACAGAAGCCTCTAGAACATTAAATTCAGTCCCCACCTGTTAGGCCTCCACCCACAATGCCAAAAGACAGTGGCCCAAGGAGTGAGGTTTCTTTCCTGTCCTTTCCTTTAGCGGTGAGTGGGACGCCGCAGGGAGAGGTCAGAGGGCCGGCAGAGAGACGACGACGGCTTATAAAGTGCTCAGAGACATTCTCTCGTGGGCCCCAATCACCCTTTGGGGAAGGACCCTCTCAAAGGTCTGGTGTTCTTCCCACTGCACAGAACTAATTAATAACGATTAACTTCTGGCCAGCCCTGCAGGTGGGGGTGGCCTCCCTGGTCACCCGGGAAACAGCCTAGTGTCGTGCAGGGCGGGGACCAGCCGAGGCCCCCAATCCAGACACCTACTTAGAAGTGGCCAGTGAGGGCAGGAGTGGTGGAAGGGGCTGCAGCGGGAGAGGAACTGATACTATCCTGCACCAGCAAACATCTTCCTTGGCTCATTTCCTCCTCACTCAGCCCCGAGAGGGAGTATTGTCTCATTTTCCAGAAAGAAAACTGAAGCTAGGGTTTGCTAAGCAACTTGCCTTTGCCGGGCCCACCAGATCACGCGCTACTCTCCCTGACGCATAAATACAAGGTGGGCTGCAGGATGGGGTTGCTCAGGCTGATCATTTGGGATGAATATTAATTTTAATACCAATGACTATCAAGGCGGCGAACATAGTGAGCCAGGGATGCGTGGCAGGTTCTGCACTGAGAGTTGATATGCATTGTTTCATGTCCTCTTTACAGTGGTGTTAGTGTGGGTACCAACATCATTTTGAGGAACCTGAGAGTCAGAGATGCCAGCAGTCTGCACACGTAGTTAGTGGCACTGGCAGGTGGGCCCAGCTCATCTGGGCTCCAGGCTTGGAGTTCTGACAACTAGGATATGGCCGAAGAGAGGTAGATTGGGCACTTCACTTGAGGTGGAAGGTGCACCTGACCACCTTACAGAGACTGGATGGGAAGAAGGGGACATGGGAAGAAAGAGAGGTGCAAACAGGGAAGCCCTCAGCCCTCAAGGCCTCTGCCCTTACCTGTCAGCCGCCAGGTCATGCAGAGGATCAGCAGGATGACGGAGGCCACCATCAGGACGGCGACGGCCATGATGAGTCCGTACACCCACAGGGGGACATACTCTGGGTGAGTGGGACAGCGTGAGTGAGGGGCAGGGAAGGCCTTGACGCCAGCCCTGGGGTTCCCCAGCCCCACTGCCGAGTCCTCGGGCTGCCTCTGGCTGGTACCGTGACCCACGGGCCCTCATTCCCTCCCGCCAGGCTGGCCTCTGGGTCCAGCCCTGTCTGCCTCTGTCTTGCTCCATACAGGCGAAGTCAGGGCCTTCCCAGGGGCCCCAGGGGTACATGCCCTGAGGGGTCTTACCTGATAGGTCTAGGAGACAGGGGCTGTGCTTACCTGCTAAATCTGCAAGGAGAACAAAGGGAAAATGGTAGAATTATCAGTAGCCATCACAAGAGTACGCACATCCGCTCAGGGCCCTCGATGGAGCACGTCAGCGGAGCAATGTGCATTTGTACATTTGCTCAGCTGGTCGCAAGTATTCTGTAGCCCTGACCCAGGAGGGCCCCCCAGAATGTGATGGGGTTCACCCTGGTCTCTAGTGACTGTCTCAGTTTCCCTGCCTTCCCCATAGCGTGGCCACGCCCCAGACACCCAGTTGAGAGACACCGTCCTTTCCCCCAGCACCGGGTCGGTTCTCATCTAGGCCAGTGCAAGAGCTGCTGCTTCCTGACTAGCATCTGGATGTAGCCACGAGTTAGGCTGCCCAGAACTTTGAACGAAGAGGGGGCGGGTGTGGCGGGGAAGAGCAGATGATCCTCACGGGTTCTGGTCAGAACCCAGGAACTGCACCAGCCGGGTGGTGAGCTCAGACAGGGGCTCAGACAGCTTTGTGGCAGTGGCCTATCAACTGCCACGTCCATGTGACTCAAACTGTGAGAACTGAAGTCGGGGGTGTGTTCAGGCCCTGTGTTCAGTACGTGGCAGACAAGTGGCTCTATGGTAATAAGCCGCCCCCATTCTTCTAGTCAGAGCGGAGGGTCAGAAAGCTCAAGGACTCTGTCTGAGGCTGCACAGCTGACGGAGGCCATCAGCAGCCCAGCCCGGGAGAACATCTCTCATCTGCCCCACGCTTCGGACCAGGCCAGGATGCCTGATCCGGCGTCGCACGCTTCCCACCTGGAGGGTTCCGGCTGTCTGGACAGGGGACGGTCCTGGAGTGTCTGAGGCAGTCATTCAGACAGCTGCTGAAGAAGGGCTGGATCTGACAGCAGAGACAGGGCAGGCAAGAGGGGCGTGCTCACGGGGAGCCCTGGGGACGCACAGGTGCCTCCGGCCAGCAGTGGCCAGGACCCATCTGGCTGCCCGCTCCCACCGCCCATCCCCGCGAGGGGCTCCAGGGGCCTGCCCAGATGGGCTGCAGAAGGCAGAGGCCCTCGCCACCAGGCCGGGAGTCCCAGAGGGTGGCGGCACAGGGCGCACCCCCACTCCGCCCGCCTTGTCTCTGGAAGAATCAGCTGAGTGCTGCTCCTGCACCTGTCTGCGCCGCTCGCACTCACCTGGACCTGATGGCGACAGCATCCACTGAAGCTCGACAGGCCGAGTGTGACGTTGGTCCTCCGGTGGAAATCCCCTGGGGCGGGCTGGGGAGAGAGGATGCGGGGGTGCTGCAGGGAGCTGTGGGGAGCACCGGGCCCGTGGAAGACCACAGGGAGGAAGACCGGCCAGGCTTCTGTTCCAGGAGAAATGACGCTTCCCCGGGGCCCTTGTGTGCTGCTAACTCGAGAACCCCCCTGTAACTGGTACCTGCTCCCTGCACGGTGCCTGCACGGTGCC